GGATTCCAGTTCAGCATATCATTGAAGTTATTGGTGCCTGTACTTGGCTGAAATGTTCTTTGCTCGGTAATTAGCTGTCACGAAGTAGCATCTTTTGTGCAATCCTATTTAAAGTTGTGAAAACACTATCAGTGATTTGTGACTGTCACGTTGAGATAATGGGTTAGAATGAGACTGGTTAGAAATTGTGCAATTTCAGTCAGTTGCTCAGCACTTCACAGTACTAGGCCATGTGTGAAGAAAGCAACTTCTTACTCTGTTCTGTTCTAAAACACAAATAAGAATTTTTAAATCACAAACCTGCTATCCTTTGTATTCATTCCGCTCTGCTTACTATAGATACAACAATATTTGTAACTGGTTTTGGTTTTTACCTGCATTAATGCCACTAGCCAATACAAGAGAGTGAACTTGGTTCTGCTCTGGCTTATGCAATGGTTTCAATACCAGGGGCAAATTTTATGCAATTTGAAGGAGGCTAATTACAGAGGAGCAATTTGGCTTGTAAAATTTATCACTTTCTGCCAGCCTGAAGCTTACACTGCTGCCCTGCCCTTCACTTGTGCACTGGGAGCATCTGATCTAGACACTGACATAAGCCTGGAATCCCATGGTGCCATTTTTTACAGTTAGGATTCTGTGCTTGTAAAATATTATATGCAAAAAATCTGAGGAGAATGTTTGTTTGCTTGCTTAAGCAGTCATTTGCCTCAGTAACAGGAATCCTGTTAAAAACATGTGGATTGCTTATTGCACAACACTGCAGATTTGTTTGGTGTACGTGACAAATGACGGGGTTCTCTTTAATAAGTATTGATCCTACATCTGTGTATGTCACTTGAATGGTATCTGTGCCATAACTGGGAGCGGATGTTTCATCCAGTAGCATAACTACTATAGCAGTCTTTCTGGTTTAGCAGAATGCTATAGTGCACTTTGAGATAATCTGTGCTTTTAAAGAGGCAAGGAGTTTTTGGATGTTGAAAGGATTCAAAGCCTATCAAGTAAATGTTTTTAGAAACACGTTCTTATTCCTAGCCAAATCTCTAAGGATTAAAAGTTACTGATATCCCACAGCTTTACTCAAAGAACAATTGCTTCTTACCAGGATTTTCCACAGCAAAGGTTCCAATCTCTACTCTTTTTCTTTTTCCCTCCTCTCTACTGAATAAATGCAATAAAGCACAAAAAGTTTCTCCACAACCTTGCGCTACAAATCATCTCTTCTGAGTCTATGGAAATAATACTTATTTCAGCAATGCACAAGCTACAGAAGCAAGACAGGCAGAGAGAGGGGAAAGGTGCAAGGTTCTGGTCTGTGAATCAAACTGAATACATTGTGTTTTTTTCCTTATAATTATCTCAGACTGATGTAAATGCAGCCCTTCCTACAGAACTAACATACTTTTTTTCCTCATGTGCTGCCTTCACCTGTACTGATTAAACCATTGGAATGATATTAAAAAGGAGCTGGAAAACATGACCAGATTGGCCCACTTCATGGTCTCACTCAGTGGAGTAAATGGGCTCAGTGTGAGGGAAGCAACCTCTGCAAAGCCACTACTCCCCTCTCACGAGTGGACAGAGAATGGGCAGGCAGGACCTGGAGCCTTGGCCCCTTTTTCTTCCAGTGTGCCAGTTTGCCTGCCTTCACCCCTGCACGTGCCCCTCTGCCCTTCACAGTACACTAGTGAGTGCTTTAGAGGAACTAATCTGTAGCAGATAAAAGGCTGAGCCGTATTCAGCTTTCTCCCCCACAAGTACAGCGAGTAGTGTTCCGCATTTTCAGTTTTTACCAATTTTCACCAATAAATTCCTTGATTTTTTTTTTTTAATTGAAGTTGTTTGCTTCTTACTAATTTACACCTGTTTTTACTGATTTACATCCCTTTGTCAGTTCACTCAATTTTACCGGGTACAGTAAAATCCCTGTTAACCGGCATGAGTGGGGAATGGCTGGGGGCTGCTGGTAAGCTAAAAGTGCCAGTTATCAGAGAGACAGGTTTCTGGCCAGACGGGGGTTGGGGGTGGCAGCGGTCACAAGCAGAGAGGGGGGTAGTAGCTGTGTGGGGGCCAGGGGAGGGCAGCTAGAGCCGCTGCCTGGGGGCACGGGGCTCCTGGCTCTGACCCCAGGCAGGGCAGGAGGGGCTGTGAGAATCGCTCCCAGGGCAGGCAGATCCCACCTGCACCCTGGCAGCTCTGGCTGCGGCCTTGCCTCAGGCACTGGAAGCTGTGAGCCCCACGGGGGGGGGCAGGTAGGACAGCCTGGCCCTGCTCCCCGTGGTGGGCACTGCACCCAGCCACTCTGCCCAGGCCCACAGGGCTGGAGCCAATTCCCAGGGGCACAGGGCTCCTGGCTCTGAGCCCAGTGCCACCACTAGCCCCAGCCTGCAGCAACAGCCTTCTCTGGCGCCCTGGGAATAGCCCGGCACAGCCCCCCAGCCTGCAGCCCTCCCAGGGTGCACGTAGCAGCAAGAGCCGTGCCCCCTGCCCCACACCCACTAGCAGTTCCCTCTGCTTTGCTTCCTGCTGCAGCTCCGGGAGCAACCAACGGTCTGCGCCGCAGCTCTCCCCTGTCCCTTCCCTAGTGCCAGCCTTCCTCCCTCCCTCCCTTTCTCGCTGCCACAGGAATATATTATTATTTTCCCTGATTTAAACTTTTTTTTTTCTTTTTTTCCTTTTATCCCAATTTCAACCTGGTTTTTATGTTTGGAAAATAAACCCTGAAAAATTCCTGGATATTTTTTTTTTAAATAAAAACTGAAAATGCAGAATACTGACAGCAAGGAGGTGGGAAGCTGATTATTACAACCCAAAAGGTTTCTGGTCAGCTCCTGGGGCTGTATAGCTGTACTTCTGTTTCTCTCATGGCTTGTAGAAAGCCACAATCTCATTCACACTGAATAAGAGGGAATAGACAGAGGTGTTTAATTTCTTCCTTAAGCATAGTTCAGATCTTGGAAAACCTCTCCGTTGTCATCTAATAACTGTTACCAATATAGGTCTACAGTCCCAAGAGCAGAGGCCATTTGAGCCCATTCCCTGCTGTTGAAGACCATCATAATCCTTTTCATAGACTGATCAAGCTCCCACTTAAGTTGGGTAGGTTTCATGCCCTCATTGCTTCTGTTAGACTCCCCTGCCTGAATGTGACTTCTCTGCCAGTTAGAAATTCCACCAAATATTATTCATGGCTGATTTATTCCCAGTTGTTCTTGTGCCTTTTTAACACCCTTTTCCCCTCCCTAGTGTTTACTCCCCCTTGTATGTGGAGGGAGCAATGATGTCTCTCCTTTCCCTCCCCACTTTACCTTCGTTTTCATAGGCTGAACAGTATTCTTCTAGTGTCCTCTAACATGGCAGGCTCCCTATTTCCCTGATTATCCTAGTAGTTCCCTGCACCTATCCTAGGTCCCCTGCATCACTGATGATCTGGGTCCTGGGCACCAATTATTCTGTGGCCAGAAACTTTAGAACAATTTGCTAGTTGCCTCAGTTGTCCATATGACCTAATGGCAATGAAAAAGCATGGTGAATCAGGGAAGCTGGAGTAGAATGAATGTGGCTTTGGAATAGAAGGAAGCTGCTGGGTTTTAACAAAGAAAACTAGAGTTTGGGAGATGTTATTTTCATGTATTCTACACCACAATAAATAAATGTTCTCAGCTTATAAACTATTCCAGGCAAAGGCCTGTCTTATTAGGTCTGAGTAGCATCTAACATATTTGGATGCCAGATAAATAAAAAACCAAGGTTTTCCATTTGCAAAAGTAAACAGGTTTCACTTAGATCAGCAGTGATAAAAATCCTTAGTGGAGGAATGTTACAGAATGATAGAAAAGGAACAGATGTCAGATCTCACAGGAGTTGCATCTTATGAAAAACACATGCCATGGGGAATCATTTCAAAGTTGGTGTAAGACAATGAAATATATATTGAAGTAAAACAGACTCACAAATAATGAGAGCAGATGAAGGTCATTCAGTTATAAAGTAAAAATTGTTGGAAAGAGTCTCTTTCTCTTCTCTCCACTTTTTCCCAGTGTTGTTCTAATGGGAACAGTACATTATGTGTTCTTCAAAGCAGTAAATGTAAAGGAGTTCTTTTAAGTAAGGACCACTTCTTCACTGATGTACTGACTAACACAACGGGAGCTTGTATGTGCGATTGTAATTACATTTTTAAATACCACTGCTATATTCAGAAAACATTAAAGTTTATTCCAAAACTTAATAGTCATCTTGGGCAAGAAAACAATACAACTTGAATAAAACAGCCAAGCATGACAGTGGACCACACAGATAGATTGAAGTCACCAAAGAATAATTGTGTGTCAGCTACGCTGTCCTTCAGAGCCTCAGCTATGCAGAAAAATATTCTGTAAGCATACAAAGAGGCACTCGGAACATGGTTCTAATAAAGCCACTTCTAAAACTTACATTAGAGCATTATATATATTCAGCAGTTTTCTTTGCGATCCAACTCTGTTTCACAGAGTCAGACATTCCCAATGAAGTGCACAAGAGACAAGCTTTCCATCTGCAGAAAGGAAGGGAGAGGCAATTAAAAGTTTGCATGCTGTGAAATCTCTGGGTACCAACAGTTTCTGCATAGAATTTTATAACATTTTAAAGAACAATTGGTTTTCCTGCTGGCTGGGGCTGCTGAATATAAGCTGCCTATGTTTTTTAAAGAGAGCTGTATCTTAAGTTATTCCCAACATCTAAAAGGCTGTTATTTTTCCTACTGGCTGCTTTTTCCTGAATGGAAATCAAGATCCCGGTGACAAACTGGATCTCCCAGAATGACCCAAATTCTACCCGCTTTCCCAGGCATATACAGGTTGGACTTCTCACAAAGGGGAGGCAGTTTTCTGATAGCACAATGTCAGACTCAAGGGGTGGGTGGGAAGGTGTTAAGAAAGCTGTGCTAAACAGAAGTAAAAAGACCTGAAAGGCCTGCCTTGACAAAAGTCGAGGGGGGCTGCTTGTAAAAGCACCTGGTAGGACTGACTATTAAACGCTCTCTACTTACCTTTGTATCGCTGAGCAGGGTAGGGCAAAGCGTGTATTAAAATGAATGAGATAACTTTTCCTGGGAAACATCTGCTCTAGGCAGGGAATAGGCAAAGCTTCTCCATGGAAGTTCTCCTTTTTGTCTTTGCCACAGCAACTCCATCACACAAATTCTGAAATAAAATAGCCACTAAAGGGGAAGGTAAGAATAACAAGCATGCCATGTTTGCTGCCAATTTTCACCTCCTTATTTTTCTAACATTGCATACAAGTACTCTTGTGTGCAGTTTTTTCTAGGCAACAAGTAAAACATTGTAAGTCTGAAACCTCAAGTTTAGTCTTAGGAATGTTTAATTTAAAATAATATTTTATTTTAAATGAGCTTGAAAAATGATGCTCATCCAGCCACATCAGCTCCATACGTCTGTTAGCAGAAGCTAGTTTTCATGGGATTAGTAGCAGACAATACTCACTACCTCTGTAAATATGGAATGACACTTAGTGCTCTGATGTTAAGATGACCTTTTTAACCTATTTATTGCAGCACATATGATTTACAGCTTCTGACGTTTGTGAAGTCAGCAATATCCAGACACAACAAGGTGTAATAAGGCATTAAGTGCTTCTGTGAATTTAAATGAGATCCTTTGTTATTACCTTGAATGTAAATTTTTGTTTGGAATAATCTTTGCATCTGGCTGTTTAGCAGGAAAGTAGGGATGTGTTTTTAACAGGCACCCTAAAATTCTTCCTCCTTGGTTAGCAATAAATGGAATATTTCCTGGGTAAAACACTCTTTGTTTGACCTCCCAGGAATACTAAACCCAATCTACTTTATCCCAACATTGTTAGGTCTGTTTGCGTGGCCTACAGTCTGGATAAAAAGATATAAAAAAAAAGTGAAATGAGTCTAAGCAAGCCAGTACCTGCCCTCTCACTACCTCCTCAATAAAGTTACCTCCCAAAAAGGAGGCTTGATATAGCCAGAGGGTTCTCAGAAAATGGATAGACCCCCACATTTTTATGTAAAAAAAAAAACCTGTCCCTTTTTACAGAAAATTTTAACTACATTCTGCTTTCACCAACCAGGAGAGAGCCTAAGAATGATGTACGATCGGATTCTGAGCTAATAACCAGTGGGTACTTCAGCCTCATTGTCAAATCTTTTATTCTCTGCAGCTTATCAACGAGCCACTACATTTTGCTTGAAGCATAGGAAGGACTGCCATCTCGTGGATGTTAGTGAAGAACAGATGATGACTAAGTAAATTAAGGCAATGAACACAACAGAAAAAGTGGGTGATGCTATTGGCAGTATAAATAAACTGGAAGTCTGTTCCATGTTATGATCTGTGGAGATATAAATAAAAGGAAACAAGACATCAATTCATTATCTAGGCTATTTGATTCTAGAGAGCAATTAAAACGGAACATTATAGTTTACTTGGCTGATAAAAGAGCCGCTTCCATGAAGCAGGAGAAAGGAAACACTTGAGAGCTACAGCATGTTTTACTTACAACTTTAAAAGTTTGGGTTTTTCTTTTTTTTTTGAATTGCATCAATCAAGCCAAAGCAGTAAGGAAAGTGCTGGATTTCAGTTTAAACGGCTTTTGCTTCTAGTGTTGTTTAATGCATACAAGTAATAGTGAATTACCCACAGTGAATTACCCACCTTTAAATAGTGCAACAATTCAGTTGATTATAATAAAACAAACGGGATTTTTCTAACTATGGCTTAAACTTGCTAATGCTGTGACATCTTCTGGATATAGAGCACACATAGTATCCTCATCCATCCTGCTGCTCCTTTGGAAAAAAATACCATTAGAAATCTGGGAGACAGAGTTAAATGATCAAGTTAAACAAGGTACAGTAAGATTAATTACACATGCAACTAACTGCTTTTGAATATCCTAGTGGGAGTGGAGAACCTCAGATAATCAACAGTTGTTTTATCACCAGCCCATCTTGCTCCACTTTGTAGCAAGATGGGCTAGCATTTTGTTTTAGTTCCTCCTTCTCAGATTTATAGATTCATAGATGTTAAGGTCGGAAGGGACCTTGATAGGTCATTGACTCTGACCCCCGTATAGGCAGGAAAGAGTGCTGGGTCCAGATGACCCCAGCCAGATGCCCATCTAACCTTATGTCAGTCTTTATGACAGAATCCTCATGTTAGTAGTTCTGTTAGATATTTGAAGCTCAGTTAGACCATTTGCTTTAGTTAGCAAAAGAAGCAGAAATGGGACACAAGTTAAGGGGCTTCTCTGGGCTAGATTATGATTAGCCCTATTGCAACAGCCTAGGAGAGTAAGCCTGTCCCTAAGCACCTATTCGATGGCTGTGTTAGTAGTGTTACCCAAGCCTTGGATCTAGATTCTGTGTACAGCATGGAGAACTCTTCTACCTGCACTCAGAGGATGGCAGAAGTGGAGCGTGGGAGCCAAGGGGCTGCTGACACAGCATGCTGAAGGAGCTACATTTGCACTCTTTTACATCCTGCAATAAACTCTTTACCCCATTCTTCAGGATGGAAGGATGACAAGTGAACATGTATTCCTCCCAGGATTACTCACAGAGCAAGGCGGTTAATACAGGGCTGTGCCTGACCACTGGGTTTTTCAAAAGCACAAGAGTGACTTGAGAAGTCTTGTTGAAAGGCATTAAACTTGTGTTCCTTTTGCAGGCTCTCAGGATCCTACCACAGGTCTCTAAAAGACCCAGCTCCTGGAAACAAGAAATTAGAAGAGAATCTTAGCCAGGCACAGCTGGTGAACTCTGAGGCAGGTGGGGCAGGTGGAGCATCACACCGTATCATCCAGTTTCAAACCGTTTTTTATTTTACTTTATTTATTCAAGTTTTTTTTGTTTATGAAAACAATGCTGTAAAACATAACGTGTAATTTTTTATGTTTACCAAAACTAAATCCCCCAGCTCCCTGGCTGCAAACCCCTGCTCCCAGCCAGAGTGCCCAGCCGGCTGGAAACTTCCCCACTCCCGCAGCCCCAAGCCAGCTTCCCCCTCTGCCCTGCAAACCCACATCCCCGTCAAGCCCCACTTACCTCACAGGCTCAGAAGGAAAGTGAGCCTGAGCCAAGCCTTGGGTGACAGAGTCAGGCCCCACCCTTTCCCCTCTCCCTCCCACTCCCAGCAAAAGTTCTGCCCACTTTTCCCAGGTTGGAAAAGTGGGCAGAACAGAATAGGATGCAGTTCGACAAAGACAAGTGCAAAGTGCTGCACCTAGGGAGAAGGAATCACCAGCCTACTTACAGGCTGGGAAAGGGACGTCCTCTGCAGCACAACAGCACTAAAGGATCTCAGAGTCTTTGTTGACACCAAGATGAACATGAGTCGTCCATGTGACAAAGCGATCAGTAAAGCTAAGTGCACTTTATCATGCATCAGCAGATGCATGATGAACAGGTCCAAGGAGGTGATACTTCCCCTCTATGCGGCATTAATCAGGCCACAGTTGGAGTACTGTGTCCAGTTTTGGGCACCGCACTTCAAGAGGGATATGAATAATCTTGAGAGGGTTCAGAGGAGAGTCACTCGTATGGTTAGGGGCTTGCAGGCAAAGCCCTACAAGGAGAGATTGAGGGACCTGGATCTCTTCAGCCTCTGCAAAAGAAAGCTGAGAGGTGATCTTGTGGCTGCCTACAAATTCATCAGGGGTCAGCAAGGAACAGGAGATGCTCTGTTTACCAGGGCACCCTTGGAGTAACTAGGAACAATGACCACAAACTGACAGAGAGCAGATTTAGGTTAGACATCAGGAAGGACTTCTTCATGGTGAGGGCTGCCCGAATCTAGAATGGGCTTCCGAGGAAGGTGGTGCTCTCCCCCACCTTGGGGGGTTTTAAGAGGAGGCTAGACATACACCTGGCTGGGGTCATCTAACCCCAGTGCACTTTCCTGTCCGGGACAGGGGGTCGGACTTGATGTTCTACTGAGGTCCCTTCTGACCCAAACATCTATGAATCTATGAGACCCCTGCCCCTCCGGGCAGGGTTGGGGATTCCCGGGTTTCCTAGGTAACAGCTCTTTACCTGGGCTGGGGCATCAGTACAGGCGCCCGGCTGCTCACTTAAGCAAGTGGTTATTGCCATTCATTCAAACTGTTCAGGTGTTTCTACTGCTCATGCGCCAGTTGGGGGGTTAGGAAATCACCCCAAGGTGCTTACTGCATATACTCAGCTTCTTGTTGTGTATGCGTAGTGGAGGAGCATAATCATTGCTTACGTTACTAGCAGACATAGGAGAGAAAAAAATTATTAGTTTTGTTTACGTGGTTAATTCATCAGATGCTGTTTTGGATACTTCCAATTAACAATACTATTATTTTTATTTATTTATTTATTTAGCTGACGCAGTTCTTGTGTCATTTTGAAACTGGTAGGGCAGCGCCTGAGTGCTCCTTATTGGCCAGCTGCCACTGATCTTAACTTTCTTATTTAAAATGGAATTAAGTTTCTGGTCCTTGTTGTTGCAGAGGAAGGACTGAAAATGTGAGGTGAGCAGAACTGAAAGGCTCTGAAACCAGTAGACAAATAGGGTACAAAATGGAGTCTAAAAAATAGAATGATTTTAAGCCAATCTTGTATTGTTTCTGTGGAGACTGACCTGAAAGTTTTGAATGTGTAAGACTGGCAATACTAGCTTCTCTGGAAATCTGCCAAGAGTGTAGGAGGATGAGGATGGCAGCCCTTGAATTTTGCAGCTAGAGATGTCAGAGCTCAAACACTGAATACAAACCATCTGGACCCCTTTCTTCTTTTCTGTTGCATACCCACCTCTTTCTCTGCAGAAGTTCTCAATTAGTAAAACATTGGGTCACAAAAGTTGTCCAGGAGCTGCTGACATCAGACAGGAGCAGGCAATCTCCCTGCTATATTGCCCTCAGTGGCTGTGGCACTTTAACGTGACAACACACGGCACTTAAAACTGGGATTGCAAACTGACAAACATTTGAAGTACTCTGAGGCAGGA